AAAATATACTATCAAATTCAGGGTAACAAAAATATTTAATTCTGCTTAATTTAACAAACATTTATAGCCTTAATATATGTTTCCACAGTTTGAAATATGGGAGACGCAAAAGATAGAAGGCTTAGTTTCTAGTCATAAGGGAATTTAGAATGTTCATGAAAATTTTCCATAGAAAAATAATAAAGAAGTAGCATTAAAAGATGGCTAATAATCCAAAGTGAGTGCTCACAAATAGCAGTTACCATAACAGGAAGAAGGAAGGGCTGATTATGGACTGACATATTTATGGAAGATTTCATCACAAATGGATAATTGCCTCTAAATAATATAGACATGACTTTACAACATATTGTAGCGTATTTTACTCCTGCAAGTGATATTCATCAGTTATGTTATCTTGTTTATCTATACAATTTTTCTTATACTTATTTCAATATAAATCAATTATGCCCATAGGAAAAGAATCTTTGATGACTCACTATATCTATTTTGCACAGATTTTCTAAAGGCAAACACCAGTAGAAACCACTCTATAGTTCAAGGCTAGGTCCAGAGTTTTGAGTCAGAAATGTTTACTTGTATTTTTGTCAGTTTGTTTTGCTTTTATATAAATAACATTGTTTTTAAATTAGTCATATTTTTCTTTCTTATTCATGTTTTTTTCTATTAGTGTTAACTTTAATATTTTTAATTCATTCTTCAGTTTTTCTTCTATTTTTTATTTGGGGCTTGGTATATAACTTTCAAATGTACAGTTTTTTATATAAATGCAACCAATTTAATATTCTTTAGAAATCTTTCTTTTAGTGTTTTAGCATTATTATTTTACTATTTAATGCTAATATATAAAAGAAAATTAATGAAAGTATAAATCTATGATGTTACATCTTCCGCAGTTTACTTTAAAATAGTTCAAAGTAAGCAGTGGCATGTGTATAGGTAGAAAAGTTAATTGCAATCTACAACCTAGAGCTGTTAGATCACACTTGAAGGGTGTTATCTGAAATCCATATTCTATAATTAGCTAACAAAAGCACATAAAGTATTACCAACTTAATGTACACCAGCAAGAAGTCTGATAGTTTGTCTCCAAAGATGGCCCCAAAGGAGCCAGCCTTCCAGATCCTGTGTAGTTTTTGCCCACAAAGAATGGTGAGGTAATTCTGGACCTACACTTTAAGAAATGCTGTTGATTTTTAATTTTGAGATCTTGGGAGTATTGAGCAGCCATGAAAGATGTCCAGTTACACCTGCTGGAGAGACTGTGTGAGATACCCTAAGACCGTGTGTATTAGGGTTTAATAGAAGGACACAACTAATAAGACAGATGTACATATAGATATATGAGTTGATTAAGGAGTATTGACTCACACGATCACAAGGTGAGGTCTCGCAATAGGCTGAAGCTGAGGAGCAAAGAAGCCAGTCCGAATCCCAAAGCTGAAGAACTTGCAGTCTGATGTTCGAGGGCAGGAAGCATCCAGTGCAGGATAAAGATGTAGGCCAAAAGACTAAACCAGTCTAGTCTTTTCGCATTCTTCTGCCTGCTTTTATTCAGGCCGTTACTGGCAGCTGATTAGATGGTGTCCACCCAGATTGAGGGTGGGTCTGTCTTACCCAGTCCACTGACTCAAATGTTAATCTCCTTTGGCAACACCCTCACACACACACCCAGGAACAATACTTTGCATCCTTCAATCCAATCAAGTTGACACTCAATATTAACCATCACACCATGTAACAAAGAGAAAGGTACAGTTGTCTCCATGTTCCAGTTGAGCTTGTAACGACAGCCAGTCCAGGCACTTTCTCAATGCAACTACATGAGAAATCCCAGGCGAAACAAGCAAAAAAATGAAGTGCATTGAGAAGAACCGAAGACTTAGCAATAAAGAAACAAGTTAAAATAGGGGAAAAACAAACAAACAAACAACAACAAAAAGGAAACAAGCCATCATTGGAGGCTGAATGCATTACTTTCTTAGCCTGATAAAATGTATTTGCAAAAACAAAAACAAAAACAAAACAAAAAAAAAACAACCTTATGGTTAACATATTTTATGGTGAAAAAACTCATCCTACTTAAGATCAGAAACAAGGCAATAATGTCCATTTTTAGCACTTTTATTCAGCACTGCAGTAAAAGACTTGGGCAGTGGAAGAAGGTAAGAAAAAAATAAGTCAAACAATACATATGTGTTCGCAAATGGCATAATAATTTGTATACACAATTTTAAATAATCCGCAAAATATATCTTACAACTCATAAGTAAATGTAATAAGATTACAGGTATGTTGTAAATATATGACAGTCTTATGTATTTCAATATAATGATAATGAACAATTACAAAATGAGATATAAAGACACATCTGCTAAAATAGTACTGTACTGGGTTAAATATTCTCCTCCAAATTCATGTCTACCTGAAACTTGTGAGTGTGATCTTATTCGGAAATAGGGTTTTTGCAGATGTAATCAAGTTAAAATATGGTCATGCTAGAGTAGGGTTCGACCTGATAAAAAGAAACAAATTTGAATGCAGAGACACCAGCACAGAGAGGAAAGAACACCGCATGAAGAAAGGAGGATGAGATTGGAGGCACGAGTTGACAAGCCAAGGAAGACAAAGATTGCCAGGAAACAACAGAAGCCAGCAGAAATTTTATGTTGTTTAATTTTATGTTGTTTTTGATTTTTTGGGTACATAGTAGGCATATGCATTTATCAGTACCTGAGATATTTTGATACAGACATACAATGTGTAATATCACATCAGGGTAAATGGGGTACCTGTCACCTCAGGTACTTATCCTTTCCTTGTGTTACAAATATTTCAATTATACTATTTTGGTTATTTTTAAATGTACAATAAATTATTGTTGGCTGTAGTTACCATGTTGTTGTATCAACAGGTATTAACCCTATCAAACTGTATTTTTGTACCCATTAACCATTCACATTCCTCACTCCCACTATCCTTCCAAGCGTCTGGTAACCATCATTCTATTCTCCATCTCCATGAGTTCAATTGTTTTAATTTTTAACTCTCACAAATAAGTGAGAATATATGAAGTTCGTCTTTCTGTGTATGGCTTATTTCACTTAACATAATGACCTCCAGTTCCATCCACGTTGTTGCAAATGACAGGATTTCATTCTTTCTACTGCCGAATAGTACGCCATTGTGTATTTGTACTGCATTTTATTTATCCATTCAACTCTTGATAACACTTAGGCTGCTTTCAAATTTTGGAAGCCAAAAGAACTTTTGAGAAAATCAACCAGATAATTGTCAAATTCATATGGAAATACAAAGGACCTTCAATAGCAGATTTTGAGGGCTTACAGGATATGATTTCAAGATTATAAAGCTGTGTTATAAGATAATGCAGCAAAGCATTAGGAAAAAGATGGAACAGGATATAACTGTATTAGTCCATTCCCTCACTACTATAAAGAACTACCTGAAACTGGGTAATTTATAAAGAAAGGAAATTTCATTTGTTCACAGTTCCACAAGCTGTACGGGAAGCATGACTGGGGAGACCTCAGGAAACTTTCAATCATGATGGAAGGCGAAGGGCAAGCAGTCATGTCTTACATAGCCAAAGCAGGAGTAAGAGAGAGTGGGCAGGTATTACGCACTTTTAAACAACCAGATCTCATAACTCACCCACTGTCATAAAAACAATACCAAAGGGAAAATTTGTCCCCATGAACCAATCACTCCCCACCAGGCCCCACCTCCAACACTGGGGATTTCAATTTGACATGCTTTGGGTGGGGACACAGACTCAAACCATATCAACACGCAAACACATATAGTCAATTGCTTTTTAGAAAAAGTTCAAGGACATTTAATGGGGAAAGAATTATCTTCAATAAACTAGTGCTAGGACAACTGAATTATCAACCTAAAAGTTGTGTATCTATTCTTACCTCACCCCACCTACAAAATTAACTCAAAATGGATTATAGATTTAACATATGAGCTTAAATATAAACTTAATGAAAGAAAATGTAGGCGTATATCTTTATCATCTTGTATAGCACTAGCCATGCAAGAAAAAAAAAGTTGACCTTATATGGGACTTATATATTCAAATTTTATAAAAGAAAAAACATATTAATAATGATAAAGTAAACTGTGGTTTAGAAACTGGACAAAAAATGTGAACAACAATTTCATAAAAGAAGGTATGAAACATCAAGTAAATAAATGTAAACATTCACAATATAATTAGCTGTCAGGTATACAGAAATTACAACTAAAGTGAAATATTACTATGCAAACAGAAAATCCCATCAAAACAACTTTTGATGACTTGACATGTAACTTTTTTTTTTTACTTTAAAATGGTGCAAAAGCAATACACATTCAGTAGAAAGCAGTAGAATACCCTCTTGCGGTGTTGGGCAGTGGCAGGGAGCTAAGGCTTCCAGTCAGCCACAAGATCACCAGGGTAAACAAGAGATACTCTACAGTTTGCTATGTTGCCAGATGATTTTGCTCAATTGTAGAATAATGTAAGTGTTGTGAGCCTGTTTAAGGTAGGCTAGGCTAAACTATGATGTTTGATAGTTAAGGTGTATTAAAAATGTATTTTCAACTTGTGATATTTTCAACTTAACAATGGGCTTATTGGGGCATAAACCCATCATGAGTTGAGGAGCATCTAGTACTACAATGTCTAAAAATAAGACCAACAATATCAGGTGTTAGAACATAGAGCGACAGGAAAACACCACCAAAGAACTACCTGAAACTGGGTAATTTATAAAGAAAAGTTATTTATAACTTATAAACTGCTGATACATATAAAATATATAAAATGAAACAACTAATTTGCAAAAGACATTGTGGTATAATCACACCACCCTAGTTGGAAATAAAAGATATGAATTACTGATACCCCAAATGACATAGATAAATCTCAAAAGCACCACGCTGAACAAAAGGTGTCAGACGCAAGAGCACAGTTATTTGAATCCACTTACATGACATCTAGGACAGGCAGAACACCAGTCGACAATGACTGAATTCAGATCCACTGGTGTCTGTGTTGACGACTGGGGAAGATTGCCTACAGAAGAGTATAAAGGAACATTTTGAGAAGATAAAAATGATATAATTTTTAATTGTGGTGGTTAAACATTGATATGTACAGTTAGCAAAACTTATCAAATTGTACTCTTAATATGGTCATTTAATTATATGTAAATCATACCTCGATAAAAGTCAATTTCTTTCAAAAACACCATAAAAAGATACCACCAACAGGGAGTAGAGTTACTAAAATTTGTTAAAGATTTACCATAAGTCCTTTCTGTTATTATGTACAGTAACAGGAAACTTTTATATACTTTGAGTGAAGGTATAAAAAATAGCACAGCTACTTTGGAAAACAACTGTTCTATTTAAAACAGTTTTATATAATGTTAAAAATAAAAATATCACATGACTCAGTAATATCATTCTGATAACAAAAATAAAAATGTATCTATCATAAGATCTGTTCCAAATTTTTGTAACATTTCAAATATCCCCAAACTGAACACCCTAAATGTTCATTAACAACTGAAGAGATAAAGAAATTATACTACATTCATGTAATGGAATATTACTAAACTGTAAGAAAAAAAACCTCCTGATATATGCAACTGATGCATAGATGAATCTTAAAATATTATGCTGAGGAAAAGAAGCCAAACACATAAGCACACAAATTAAATGATTCATATATATATATAACTCTACAACATAAAAACTAATCTTTAACAATAAAAATCATACCAAATCCATACAAAAACCTACACATGACTGTTTATACCAGTTTTATTATATTTTATTTTATGTTTTGAGAGAGGATCTCACTCTGTCACCTAGACTGAAGTGTGGTGGTGCAATCTCAGCTCACTGCAGCCTCGACCTCCTGAGCTCAAGAGATCCTCCCACTTCAGCCTCCCAAGTAGCTAGGACTACAGGTGTGCACCACCATGCCCGGCTAATTTTCATATTTTTTTTTTAGTCACAGGGTTTTGCCAGGCTGCTCTCGAACTCCTGAGCTCAAGTGATCTGCCCACCTTGGCCTCCCAAAGTGCTGGGATTACAGGTTGAGTCACCACACCCTGCCACAGTTTTATTTTTAATTGTCAAAACTTGGAGACAAACAAGATTTCCTTCAGTGGAGGAAAAGAAAAATAAACAATGGAAGAAATGAACAACAAGAGATGAATAAGCAGAACACAGAGTTTTATGGCAGTTAAACTACTCTAAATGATACTTCAATGGTAGATACATCTCACTATACATTTGTCAAAAGCCATATAATATATATACAAGAGTGAACCCTTATGTAAACCCTGAATTTGGATGATAATGATGTATCAGGTTAGGTGCATCAATCATAATAAACGTACCACAGTGGTGGGGGATACTGATAATGGAAGAGGCTATTCTTATTTGGGGGCAGGGATATGTGAGAACTCCCTGTACTTACTGCTCAATTTCATTGTGAAACTAAAACTGTTTTTTTTTTTTTTTAAAAGGCTATTTAAAAGGGTAAAATCATTTTAAGGTTGCCTGACAGAAAGCATTAGTCTTTTCTGCAGAGTCATGAATGACACTTTTGGGATTATGGGAATGTTCTAAGTGATCAGGTAGTGGTTACATGAGTGCATATATTTTTTAAAATTCATGCAACCATACACTCAGAGTGGATTAATTTTAATTACACTTCAATGAACTTGATTAGAAATAATTTTAAAGGCATATTTTAGCAGAGGGGGGCATTAGGTAGACAATTGTCGACTTAGGAAAAAAAGATGTATTTGGAAATAGCAAGAATATGAAGTTCACAAGCTGTTCATGGTATTGGCAGCACTCTTATCCCCAATTAATGACCCTCCCTTATGCATGCACTCTGGGCTACATCTTTTTTTAAATTTTCATCTTTTGTGGGTACACAGTAGGTGCATGTATTTATGGAAGACATGCAATATTTTAATACAGGCATACAATGCATAATAATCACATCAAATTAAATGGGGTATCTGTCACCTCAAGGACTTATCCTTTCTTTGTGTTACAAACAATCCCATTATACCCTGTTAGTTATTTTTAAATGTACAACAAATTATTGTTGACTGTAGTTTGAACGAGATCTTTGGGCCACATCTTTGCAGTGCTCGTCCACTTCATTTGACCCATGTTAAGATAGTCAATGTAATGTCAGCTGATGTTTGCATTATATTTCTGCCTTGGTACTCTTATTTGGCTGCACTTACTCATTCTGATGACTCTGCATTCAACCAAAAGAACTTCATTAGGCTGTAATTCTGCATAGAAGGGAGACAGGACTGAGAGAGCTACCTTTTCCTAGCCATCCTACATAAGTTATTTGCAGATCATCCCCCCAGCCAGTTAACACATTCACATGTGAGGAAAAGATTTCCCCAGCAGAGTCCAGCCTAAATGTTGATCCACAGTGAATTCAGTTTTAGGATGGTTTTTATGGTCTAAGGAGCACTTCATATAAAAGTAACTTTTAATGAAAATGATTTTTAAATAATTTATACTTTCTCCTAGTAAACATTTTGACAATATAATTTAAAAGAGATGGACTCAAGTGTTTAATGGACCAAGATTTTCCTATATAGGTTAGAAATTTGGGGTTAGAAAAGACTGTTTTAAGCCACAAAGTTAAATTTTTGAATAAATTAATACCAACTGTGATTCATATTATTGGTGTATTTTGCTTTACACCAATAAGTTGGTAGTAGATGTATGTGGAGTTAAGTCATGGATGATTCTTAGGTTTAAATTATTTTCTTGTTTCTGTGGGATCCCATGACTTAACAGACATCACTCACCTCTATTATCTTTATTTATATGTATTTTTTTGGCTTATTTCAAAGTAAAATGGTTCTTACCCTAGTTGTTTCCCTCCCTCTCTTGATTTCTATTCCCTGGCCACACTTTCACCTGATGAAGCATAGTCCAGTGTTAGGCAAAATTCTGTGAAAAATAGTATTTGGTGTAATGATATTTCCCTTGAATTTTAAATTTCTAAGTAGAGAGTCTTGGTGTTAATATCGTCTTCCAGTGAAATCCATTAGACTAAGAATTAATTATACCTTATAAAATAAAAATACTATCAACTTTAAACCAATTTTTAAAAATTTTTTGATAAGAGGAAAAAGGGGGGCAGGCACTATTTTTAACCTGCTTTTATTATTAAATACTCAAAGCATAATAGCTGACATGCCAAATAAAGGCTTTGACAGATGATTATTAAAGCATGTGGATTTAAAGGGCTTGTATGAGTGGAAAAATGACAAGTCAATATCAGGTACATCATCTTCTTATGCACTTTACTCATTTCTATTACACAGAATCATTAAGGATCGTATTCATAAACGTCATGCTGCAAATTAAATTTTTGTCATTAAACCTGTTAGTATTAGAAGGAAAAGCAAAAATTATGATTTTCTGATCATAATACTGAATAAAAGTTTTACCATTTTATTAATATATGTAGTAGTGATTAAGAAATTTTAAAATTAGCTTTTTACAGTAAGCTACACTTTTGATTTCTCAAGTATTTTCTACTGCTTCATGATTTAAATATCTGCTCTTCTTTAAAATACCCACTTAAAAAAAGTTACCACTTCTAGAAATGTTTAACTTCATGTTTGTCAGTTCTAAAACTTGCCTATACCAATCAAACCTAGATTTGCGATCTGGCCTACTATTCCTCCAAAAACAGGATATAATGAGAAGTGGTTGTTTCTTCCGACTGAAATTGAACATAGTATACAATACAGTATCTATTGTTCACCAATGTGACCAAAGCAGAAGTAACAAGCTACCTGGGCTCTTATTGTTGGCCTGTCGGAAAACATGTTATTACCATCTCATAAACACCATATAAACTAATTTCAGCATAATAATAAAGTCAACCAATTCTGGTCATCTGAAAGGCTTCGACCCTAATCCTGATCATGCCAGTGGAAGGGATGGTAAGGTAACAAGATATGACAGATTTGTTTCTATCATATCAAATGGCTATTAGAGAAAAAGGTAGGTTCTTCTGTAATCTTAAAGCTTAGAAGCTCCATAGCTTTGAGGGCCGCGCTCTTCTCCCAGAGCCTTTCATCTTACCCTGCCAGACCTCCTGCAGCACTGGAACGAGTGTGTGGCTTGTGACTTTTACCCAGTGAATGCTTTACTAACAACCTGGGGTGCAAGAAAGGTGCTACTTAACCATTCACTGCTCTGATTTGTATGACTTATGTTTATTACATATGTTTCATTTTTTATTGATTTCATAGTGAAAGCTTACCTTAAAAATTTATACTCCTCCCATTTTTCTCCACTTTTCTTTTTTTTTCATTCTATATATCTAACCTCATCTTTTTTCAAATTGTGAGTATTTTAAACAAAGGGTTATGTATGAATGAGAGAAAAATGTGAGAAACAGCCACGAAACTACATATACTATAAATTTCTATTAAAAACAAAATATTTTATTAGTTTTATTTTGGTGCTGTATTGTAGTTTTACCATAATAAAACCACGTTAATTTATCAGCAACATCCAATAGCATTAGAATAGCTTAAGACTGCAAAGATAGAAAATATAGAGCACAAATATTCCAGGGTATTTAATAAATTATTCCAACCATCCATGTTTAAGCCAATGTTATTTTAATTAGAAATTTTCAGATCAGCTGTTTACAAGGCACAAACCATTCCCATCAATTTTATTCCATGAATTGTACACAGTACAGAGCCATTTCCACATTCTTTTATTTCTCTAGGAAAATATATAGTGATTATCAAGGTAGTTACTGCAAAAGTAAAGATGAGAAAGTTACCTGAATATTACAAAAATAAAGTATCAATACACACCATATGTAAGTTATTCTTATAACAAGCACACGTAACTTTGACAAATGAATCTTAAAATTGTCAGTGGGAATAAATTTACACCAGGTGTCCTTTTTAAATAAATTGTTTCAGGAACGTGAATTATTATATTAAAGAGTACATTAATTCATCCTTTTTTGTCATTGCTTTTCCA